AATATATAAAATAAATATATATATTCCTCTTAAAGAATAAGTCCCTGAAGGCATGAAGTGTAGCACCAGCTTTGTCTTCCCTGTTCCCTCTCCACACCCTCCAGCCCATCTGCTGCTTCCTAGGCAGCCTGTGCAAGCTCATCACAGGAGCTGCAGCCATGCCAGTGTTGGAGCTCACAGCTCTGCTGAAAACACAGGCTTGCTGAGCACATGAGTTTCTCAGGGTGGTCTTCAAGAGACAGTACACAGATCAAGGAGTCTTCCACCTCCACTCCCAGCCCTTCAACAGGAGTAGGTCGCACACTTATGTGCTTCCACGTAACCTCCAGAGCAACTTAGACCAACACAGTTAATACTGAAGTTCAGTTCTAAAAATACACTCTGGAAGGACCCTCCACCTGTCTGTTTACATTGGATGAACGACAAGCTCAGGAAAATCCATTTCTTCAGGAGCAACTCTAATTTTGGCAAAAACTTTTCAAAGGTAGAAAAGTTTGTTTGGATAAAAGATCTTCCCGAGCTGCCTGGCAGCCATTACCAATATTTATTTTCAGATAGCAGGTATGTGATTCCAAAACAACCAAAATTATTTCATTGATGTTTCTTTGTAAGTCCATTAACAGTCAACTCTTTTTCCATTACAGTATTAATTATACTAGCTGAACAAACACATAGATGAAAAATGAAGCCAGTTTTACATGCTGTATCTACCGACCCCCCTAACAATTTTCACTGACCCTTCAATTGCCTGAAAACCTGAAATATTTGTCATAAGTTGTTTTTCTTCCTGTATTTCTGTATTTTCTATACTCTTAAAGCAAAACAGAAATAGCCTGTTTCAATACTTATGTATTTCATTACAGATGATGTAAAAAAAAAATTGGAGTGTTTTCAGTTGGATATAACATAAAGAGTGAACCTTCTGTGACATCAATAACCTTGACTAGCATTAACATACCTCATTTAGTATCTGAGCTGCGTTTTTCACTCTAATCAAATCTGGTGTATCTTCAAACACTGTCATTCCTTTTCCTTTCATCCCTTCTTCCAAATCTTTTCTATACTCTTTCTAAGGATTTAAAACAAAAAAAAAAAAGAGAGATTTCTCCACTTAATATTGTGTGCAAGATCTTGAAAAGAAATGCCACTTATTAAATGTCTGAAGAGTCTCTTTGAAATTTCTATGAAATATGAATTAGCTGAAGTACAGGTTTCAGAGTTAAAATAGAATTGGAAATTATGAAATCAAAAGGTACAATGTTGAAAAAGTAAAAAGGTTTTAATGTAGCCATGTGTTTTCTTGTGCTCTTGAAAAATACTCCTCTCCTATACAGTGCTAGCAGATTGTTTAGGGGCCTCAGCTGCCTCTCTACAGACATTTTAACTGCAGCAGCATTTGCTTTTACAGACCAATATATGTTGCGCTGCAGTTTTTACCTCTGTTTCACTAATGGCATCACAATCAGGATGGATGCCCTGAACACTATACTAGGACCTGTTAAAATGACTGCTTGATAAATTAGAATGTAGAAGCAATATTCCTACCATACCACTTCTGTGCCTCTCAGACACTGCACTGATATGATCTATCAACATTTAGCAGCTGCAGCCTCCAGAGTACTCAAATGTTCAGTATAAAATTAAAAGCACACTAGAACCTGCCCTTGGACATTTGGCTCTTTTTCCTCTTCCCAATTCCTAGAGAGCTGATGTAAGCCTACTGAAATTCAAGATCTTTAAGTTTTGTAAGGATTTTTAATTGCTTTTCCCATCTCCAGGTTTGGGTTAGACTTTTTTTAGCAAAGAAACTGGAACAAAACTGAAGAAAACATTTTTCAGAAAGATTTATATAGACATGAATTAATACTCCTAATCACATATTAAATTTCATAAGCAGCAGTGAGCACCTTTGTCTGTGTATAAGCTCTTTATTTAAACAAAAGGAAACCAGGTATTATTAAAGAGCTTCACTTATGATCAGAAGCATGTCCTACCACAAGCAGGAAACAACTTCTATTATTTTAGAATTATTAAATTCAGCTATCTCTTCTGAAGCAGTTATGAATATGGTTCCAAATAAGAAAGTTCTTATTGTTGCAAAACCTGAAATATTTGCAGAATTCTCTACAGTGGGAAGCCAACAGAATAAGCTGAAACATAGTTGACACTTAAAAAAAAAGTAATTGAACAAATAATTCATTTTTCAATAACGCCAAGTTCTCCTTCTTGTTTCATGCAGTATCCATGTAAAGTTTATTATGAACCTTCACACAAAAATATTGAGCTACACCCTTGACTACGAAGAAATACAACATTTTGCTGAATCTCGAAAGATAATAATTAATTTGATCCATGTAATTTTTGGGTTTGGAATCTGTTCCTTCAACGTGGATATAGAATCATGTGAAATTCATGCAGTTATGCATTAAAATACCACTTCCATTTTCTCATATTCTTCCCCTCTGGCTTACAAGCGTGGTTTACTCCGTAAGTAATGAATCATAAAACTCATTAGGTCAGAAATAGGGAACACTTTAGGGTATATAGCACTATGAAAGGAATTTACATCAAAATTTTCAAAGATGAACATTTACAGCATATCCGCAACTATTCATGCACTAATCACTTCTGTGGACATTCAGCATGCAGCAAGATTAACTCAATGAAATGCAAGCATTTGCATTTTTCCCTAATCAGTAGGCATACATGAGACAAGTATGCACAGAATGGTACTGCACAAACTAGACCTAGCTTGAGACTTGTCTACCTGACAGCCAAGCTTATTGGAATAAATTATTTATTAGAGGATGAATAATAAAGAAATATCTGAAAAGAAAATATTTCCTTTACCCATATGAAATCTAGCATAGACAGGGACAAGTTGTTTAAAGAACAAGGAAAGGAAGAAGGTTCAAGGGTTTTTAACTCTAGCATCCTCAACTGGTTCATCTGAGTCACAGCAAAAACACCAATTCTTAATACAATAAATATAAACAAGGTACTGATGGCTCCCAAATTCAAACAGAGGATATCTAGCAGCTCTGATTTCTAACTGTGAATTTTGCTGATACATTTCCCTCTAAATTTGGTCAAATAGTAAGCCTAATCTATAGAACCAACCAATACTCAAAACCTAACATGAAAACAATTAAAAATACTAAAGATAGAAAAATTCTCTGTTATGGAAAAACAGTGATTTAATTTATAATGCCACATACAACTGAAGAACATTGGACAAATCTTAAACAGTGGGCATACAGAAAACCTGCAACTTCTAAGAAAATTTGCTTAAAGCAGATTACGTAATATCACAGCTGTATTACGGAATTTTGGTCTTTATTTTCATCCGTAACATGTATGACAGATAATTATTTCAATTAAATTAGTTAAAAGTGACTACACACAGATCGAGGCATCCATATAACCACAACAGACTATCATAAACCTGAAATAATTACTCAAAAGGAAAAACTGCCATCTGGATAACAACAGAAATTCTTCTTTCCACCCCTTCTTTTATCTGGAAAGAAAACTCCAGGCCCTCTCCAAAACCCTATCAAACAGCTGTCTTTTGCAGCATGCTTGGAAGGTCACCAAATTTGGGCTATTTGAGCTCAGGGGAGGAACAAATTCCAAAACTGAGGCCCTCAGAGGGAATGTTCTGCCAAACATCCATTTTCTACGGAGTCATCTGATTTGTTCATTTAACTCCCTATTTCTGGTTCAGGTGTGCTGAGCTTTATAATTTCCTTATGTTCGTAAGGAAACACCAAAAAGTATCGATTCTTACTACAGGATGACTCAGAATATAAAATGACATGCAGCAATTTTTACTCATGAAGTCACTTTTGTATTTAGCTATCAAGTTAACTGTAAGCTGTTCAGCACTCAGTAGCTTGTAGTGATGCTGCTTATTGCTTATTTACAACTTAACAACAACAACATAAAAATCCTCTACCTCTTTCAGAAGGTTAGTGACCTGTTTTATATGCAAGAACTCTGGCGTCTTGTCTAAATCCATTGAGGGTCTTCCCTTGATCCCTTCTTCAAAATCTTTGCGATACATTTTCTATCGAAGCAAAAACACCAATTAGTGGTAGGCAGACATGCATTTCCAAGCATATTTCAGAAAGAACACTGTAAACAGATCAGAAATGAGCCATGCCATAAATTAGTTATCACATTAATGAGCAACTTTATTACTCATTTCATTACCTAGATTATCTATACAAGACACACACAATTTAGACAAAAATACACATATATGATATTTCCAAAGAGAATGTTTAACATGATCTATGAAAGAAACAGTTTGCTCAGCAGAGAAAAAAGATGAAAAATGGCACACAAGGCAATGGTTTTAAACACATAAAAGTTTCTACCAAAAGGATGAAATCATCAGTTTTCCGTGACACATAGTAAGAATAATGGAATTAAACTGCAGCAAGGGAGACACAGGGAAATACTCTCTCTCAGGATGGATGGTGAAGCACTGGACTAGATTGCCTGGGAGGTCACAAAATCTCCACCAGTGGAAGTTTTTATTTTAAAAGTTAGAAAAATATGGCCTGACATAGGACAGCCAGTGCTGTCCTGGAGCCTGCGAACAGTACTTCCCCCTTCCTGAGCTCCCCAGGCTGAAAGGACAGGAGCATGTTTCAGTTAAGGCACAGGGTCTGACTGGACTTTGCGGCTTCACTTGCTCCCATCTGAGAACCCTCCCTCATTAAAGAAGGAATTAAAGGCAAAAGGTAAAAAAGTTATTAATCTCTGATCCAGATGACCTCTTGAGCTTCTTCATACAATCTCTGCCTAGTGTTAGCACCATTGGCCTTTTGAGAAAATACAAATTTGAAGGAAGAACTGAGCTACAGAATAGCGACGAGAACTACTCAGTACTAATTCTACCACATCTTCAATTTATAAAACCTTTACGATCTGCTTCATCTGTTTTCTGAACCTGAGTAGAAGATGCCTGTTAGCTTCTCTGTTGATCTAAATTTTACTAGTTCAAGCACACATTTTTACCAACCTCGCTTTGCATCTTTTGAGCCTCCTTTGAAACTTGATACATTGGTGTATCCACAAACTCCAGCATTGATCTGCCTTTAGATTTTTCGTAATTCTCTTTGTACTTGACCTAGGAAAATGAAAATACAGGCTGTAAACAGATGAGAGAATGTGAGCTCTGACTGCTTGCCACAGCGACAGACAAATCCTGTCTTAGCCACACTCCTTAGAGGTTTTGACTTGGAAGACTCCTCCCATATTTAACCCGTTGAAGAAACAGGGCAACTAGACAAGGAAATTTCTTCTGGAGTCATTTATTCCTTTGCTTCAAAATGTCAGACCCAAAAATGGTGAACTTTGAAGACAGCAGGAGTGAGGAGCATCAATCACAATCCTTAAACTAATTGCATGATTTTGGCGGAATGACCTCTATCTGAACAGTTGGCAGCTTTTCAATAGGATCCCCTGTCATGTTTCCATTAAACAACACATTTACTGTAACAACAACAAAATCTGTTTCACAGCCAGGCCCCACAGGTCTCTCTTTCAGGCTCAGGAGCATCATTCTGAAATGCGCTTTTGTTTGTACCTGTGGGAGGCAAAAAGGAAGGAAAACTACTGCCTTCGTAGGGTCCGGTCTTGCACCAACATTCCCCTCACAGCTACCAATGACCATGACCTTAAAGTTAGCAGCAAACCACATTGAAGGGCACAGGGTTAAGACAGCAACAGACAAATTTATGCTAACTCACAAAGCAAGTATGCTTTGTTTGGAAACTCGGAGAAGGCCTCTGAACTCATCCATTCATAGTCTTTTGATTTAGACTGGCAAACATATTACTTAATCAATCAGTGTGGGGTATGATGGAATATTCTACACAAGTCATAAAGGAGAGCAAATACCTACAAATCAAAATATGATATTCAGAATAAGTAATGTTATTTTAATTTATTTGTCTCTTTAAAAATAGTGATGTCTGAATTTGAGAAGAGCGTTAAG